TAATTAAATTTTTTGTTAGTTCTCATTGTTCTCAGTTATGATTCTCATTATTGTGCTAGCCTATGATATTTTTGTAGTCTAATTGTGCAAATTGCTGTAATATGCAATGAACTTATTTAATAAAGAATACAAAAAGCAACAATTTTCTGAATTATTAATCAGAATTTACTTTTTTCTCTTTTAATAAAAATTAAGATGTAATTCATTTTCAGCAATGACCTGATCCATCATAAATTATTCTATAATGCTAGCCAGATTTAGCACACTGCATATGAAGTATTGCATAATAAAAGCTTGATTAGCACACTGCTAGCATGTTTTATTACTCATTTAACATGTATCTAGCTTAATCAAACACAATACTGGCATGTTTTATCAGGTATTAGCTAGCTTGTAGCTAGCACAATTTAGCACATTGATGTTTATTTACATTGCTTACATGTTCCCAGATGTAGCACATTGCTGGCATCTTATATCACACACAGTACAGACCAAAAGTTTGGACACACCTCATTCAAAGAGTATTCTTTACTTTCGAGACTATTGTAAGCTGAGAAAATATTATATATTTTTCTATTATTTATACCTTCTATGCTAATGAAGGACTACTGAGATATTCCAAGCATGGGATGGGTCCTTCTAGCGTGGCAGATTTGATCACAGCTCCAATATACATTTCTGCCATTTGCTTACAGTAACCATGTGCCTTTCACCATACACAATTAATCTGCTTGTAATCTTCCTTCATATAACTTTGTCATGTTTGGTGTCATTTGGCAGTTTATGACTTGCGTAGCGTTGTAGTGATGAAATCAACAGAGACATTGATTGATTGTATTTCAATATACAATATATTTACTATTGTTGAGTCATGGCCTGAGGAGAGTATGTTATTGTTCTTCTCCCCCACTTTATCTCCTTAACTTTGCTCTCATGTTCAGCTGGTTTTGGGTGTTGGTTTTCACTCATGTTTGACAATGCTTTGCTCAGGGTATAAGGAGAGGTAACTGTTGATCTGGGAGAAAGGCTTTTACTCTGTGTCTCCCGCACAACGGTACGTAGCCTCATATGCTAACAAAGGCAGTTTCACTGTCTTTGTTGCTCAGCAGTGCATGTTACAGCTAATTTCTTTATACAGAGTGTTGGTTTGTTTCATTTTACTGTCTGTATATTTAAACATGTAACTTAATTAACAACTTTGCCTGCTTTAAGGCATTGAGATTCTTTCTCTTTATCAATGATGATAACAACTTTAATGGAGTCAGATTAATTACAATGGAGTCAGGTAAATAATTATTTAAACACGCCATCCTTCAACTGCTTTCTGTTTGCGATTATTGATCCAGAATAGCAGTGTAAGCATCAAGCCTTACACTATGAAAATTGTAGATTCACACTGAAGGCAGCAAAACTATTAATTAATATGTGGAATTATAAAGATAAAAAAGGTGTGAAACAACTGAAAAATATGTCCTATTCTATAGGTTCTTCAAAGTAGCCACCTATTGCTTTGATCACTGCTTTCCTCACTCTTGGCATTCTCTTGATGAGCTTCAAGAGGTAGTAACCTGAAATGGTTTTCACTTCAAAGGTGTGCTCTGTCAGGTTTAATAAGTGGGATTTCTTGCCTTATAAATGGGGTTGGGACCATCAGTTGTGTTGTGCAGAAGTCCGGTGGATACACATCTGATAGTCCTACTGAATAGACTGTTAGAATTTGTATTATGGCAAAAAAAAGCAGCTATAAAGAAAAATGAGTGGTCATCATTACTTTAAGAAAGAAGGTCAGTCAGTTCGGAAAACTTTGAAAGTGTTCCCAAGTGCTGTCACAAAAACCATCAAGCACTACAAAGAAACTGGCTCACATGCAGACCGCCCAAGGAAAGGAAGACCAAGAATCACCTCTGCTGCAGAGGTTAAGTTCATCCGAGTCACTAGCCTCAGAAATCGCAGGTTAACAGCAGCTCAGATTAGAGACCAGGTCAATGCCACACAGAGTTCTAGCAGCAGACAAATCTCTAGAACAACTGAGGCGACTGTAAATCTAGTTTTGATGGTAAAATATCTGCTAGGAAGCCCCTGCCAAGGACAAGCAACAAGCAAAAGAGACTTGTTTGGGCTAAAGAACACAAGGAATGAACATTAGACCAGTGAAAATGTGCTTTGGTCTGATTGAGTCCAAATTTGAGATCTATGGTTCCAACCACCGTGTCTTTGTGCAACGCAGAAAAGGTGAACGGATGGACTCTACATGCCTGGTTCCCACCATGAAGCATGGAGAAGGATGTGTGATGGTGTGAGGGTGCTTTGCTGGTAACACTGTGGGGATTTGTTCAAAATTGAAGACATACTAAACCAGCATGGCTACCACAGCATCCTGTTTGCATTTAGTTGGACCATCATTTATTTTTCAACAGGACAATGACCCCCAACCAACCTCCAGGCTGTGTAAGGGCTATTTAACCAAGGAGAATGATGGGGTGCTGTGCTAGATGACCTGGCCTTCACAGTCACCGAACCTGAACCCAATCAAGATGGTTTGGGATGAGCTGGACCGCAGAGTGAAGGCAAAAGAGCCAAAAAGTGCTAAGCATCTCTGGGAACTCCTTCAAGACTGTTGGAAGACCATTTCAGGTGACTACCTCTTGAAATTCATCAAGAGAATGCCAAGAGTGTGCAAAGCAGTAATCAAAGCAAAAGGTGGCTACTTTGAAGAACCTATGAAAGGACTTATTTTCTGTTGTTTCACACTCTTTTTTTTTTATAATTTTGTTTATAATTACACATGTGTTAATTCATAGTTTTGATGCCTTCACTGTAAATCTTCAATTTCCATAGTCATGAAAATAAAGAAAACTATTTGAATGAGAAGGTGTGTCCAAACTTTTGGTCTGTACTGTATGTAGTGCATTTCTAGCATGAGTAGCACAGTGCTAGCATGTTTTATTGTTACTGGCAGCATTTAGCACAGAGATGGGATGTTCATGTACAGTATGTTGCTAGCATGCTGTTTCTAACCCTTACACTGTAAATATACTGTATTGGCACAATAAAACTCATGAAATGTTGTAGTAAGTGAGGGAGAAAATCAATCTACCTAAGACAACATCACTATTATGTCAAAAGTATTTTTATAGAATATTAAAGAAACAAAACAAAAGTTTGAGCCAGTTACAATGGAAGTGAATGAGGAATTCTAAAAGTATAAAAATTAAACAAATAGTTAATAACACTTTAAATTCAATTGAAATATGAATTCTTATGTTAAAAATAGCTTATTATTTAAGCTGTAAAGTTTATCCCATATTTTGTTTTAAGCCTTTTTATGATTTTAGGTGTTAGAAATATATGTTTGGACATAACATTAAACAGAAAAGTTAGTAAGTGATTTTCTTGCATTTAAATCATGTTAACACTCAGAATGTTTAGATTGTACCTGGTGATTTTAATATTATTTTGTCAGCCTTATTTAGTTTTACCATAACTCAGATTTGAAACTCAGGAAACATTTATTCCTATTATCACCACTGAAAACAGTTGCTGCTTAAATGTATTGGTAACGCTTTATTTGGATGGTCCTCTTGAGTATTAGTAGACTGTCTGCTTTATATCTGTTGATATTACTGCTAAACAGACATTTAACTGACTATAAGAAACTGTGCAAGTACATGTCAACTTAAACTAACCCTAACACACCCCAACCCTAACCCCAACCTAACAGTCTACTTATAATCTAATGAGGATTAGTTGCTATGTAGATGCAATGTAACTTAAATTCAACAAACTGAACATCAAAACAAAGTGTGACCAATTTATTTGTGGAAAAACTGATTCTGCCAAAAATAAAGACAAAAACTTGTATTTATGTATTATGAGTGAATGCCTAATTGTTAGTAAAATGTTTGTTATACATGTAATTATGTGACTTTTACCCCAGTTGATTTAAATACTTGGGTTATTATTATATGACACTTGACAGTTTCATGTGACTCACTTGAGAAGTAAATATTCCATTCATATACAGTCTGGTCCATAAATATTGGGACATCAACACAGTTCTAACATTCTTGGCTCTATACACCAGCACAATGGATTTGAAAGGAAACAAACAAGGTGTGCTTTAACTGCAGACTGTCAGCTTTAATTTGAGGGTATTTACATCCAAATCAGGTAAACGCTGTAGGAATTACAACAGTTTGCATATGTGCCTCCCACTTGTTTGTTGTATAGCAATATAAATATAGTTAACCTGAAATACATAGGCAGAATACAATATATGGTGTCCTTTCAAATAGATGACGTTCAGTGAAGTGAATTAAGTGCTTCTGTTGTCAACAATATGTAAACAAATATATATTAGCAATCTCAGTCAAACAATTCACAGTATAATCCATAAGGAAGTGCATGTGTTTCTATTACAAATAAATGTGACACTTATTTCCTCTCCATTTCATTCTCAGTTTGCACTAAAGATTAGTCTCTGGAGATTATATAAGTATTTTACAAAGTAGTTTGGCCTTCTATGTTTATTGTAAATATAATTTTTCAATTTTCTCCCTCTGTTGTCACACTGATCTAACGCAGCTTCTTTTTTGTGTGTGTGTTGACTGGAAAATGCAGTCCCTTTTACCACAACCCGATTTTTCTCACCTTGTCAAGCACACCTTTTATTATTAGACACAGCAGACACACGAGAGGTAAAATCCTTTGTTTGTTTGTCTGGCTCAATTTCATGCCCCGCTTGGCACATAATATTTCAAACTGCGATTCTGCTGCTCATGCTTGCATTAACATATAGATGAAAATGGGAAGTCTTCTAAATATATCTGCCTCGTCGACACTGCAAAAGTGCAATGAGACGTAAGACGTTCTCATGCTCTTTGTAATAAAATTAACGTTGTAGGACATTTGCAGTATCTAAAAGTTACATTAATGTTGCCATAAAAATGAATTCTGTTTGTAGATTTATTGATTGATTTCTTATGCGTTTTGTTCCACAGTCGACACCGATGAGGACTTTGCTGGACGTACAAAAGCTGTGCAGTAAACTCTCTCTGTCCTCTCCTGCTTTGGAACCAATGGAAAGGTGAGTGTTTCTGAGTTTGTTTGCTCCTTTTATTGGCATCCGGTTCGTTATGCTGTTAATTAGCTGCTGAACCTGAAAAACAACTGACAGGGGAGCTTCAGCCCTCATCACTTATTCTGATTGAACTTGGTAATTAGACTAAGGGACAGATGAGATGACGTGCTCTTTTAACAATGTTATCTAAGCAAAGAAACATTTTTACTTTATGTATTTAATTTGTGCTATGTCTAGAGTTTTGTTTCACAAAATTACTAATATATATATATATATATATATATATATATATATATATATATATATATATATATATATATATATATATATATATATATATTATTGTTTGTATTGTTTTTCTTTTTAAAATATTATATTTCCCAAATTATGTTTAACAGCGCAAGAAAATGTTCACAGTATGTCTGATAAAGCATGTGAGAGAGTAAGACCAGATTCTTGCATGCATGAAATATTGCACATTATGACAAGTTTTGCTTGCTACACAACAGAAAAAAATAGAATGTAATGCTGGATATAATACAGTTTTTCATTTGGAATTGTACATTTATAAAGTACTATAAAGTTTTATAACATGATCTAGTGCAGTGTTTCTCAACCATGTTCGTGGAGGACCACCAGTTCTGCACATTTTTCATGCCCCAAAAACACATTTGTGATTTTAGGAGGCGTGGCATTGGACGGCAGGGGAGGGACTATGTATTCAAAGCTTATGGTAGTAATTTGGCAGATCCTGTACTGCAACTTTAAGATTCAGTGTCACTACACTAAAATTTGGGGATCTTTTTTTTCAATTTTATTGTTATTTGTTTGATCTTAAACTGATGAAAACTTTCATAACCACAAATTATTGCAATTGACAGACTGTTACCAAAAATATACCTTAAGTAAATACTGTAATCCTAAAAATGTATCATGATTTGCTTTAAAATACTAAGCTCAACATTTTCAACTCTTAGAATAATAATAACTAATGTTAACTAAATCAGCACATTTGAAATGATAATACACACTATTCGTTTTTTAACTGTATTTTAAGATTTTTTGAAAAAAAATGAAAATAATTATATCATGCTTCTTTTATAAAATGTAATGTTTATAAAATTTAAAATTATAAAATTAGAATTATAAAACTCTTGTTACATGAAAAAGTAATTCAGTGATTGTTCATATAATACAGACAAATGGTACATCTTAAGGATGCTCAATTTGTTTAATTTTGCCAACGGACTATATCATTAACCGAATTTTTACGGTTAACTGGTCAGATTGATATAAAATTATTATTTAATAAAAAAAATTGAAGTGTCTATTTTGTTTTTGACACATTAAATATTGCATTTTAAAATACTGATTTATTTAAAAATTTGAACAACAGCATACAGAATATCAGAACAACAGAACTTGCAGTGTTTCCAACACCGTAGAAAAACAGAATAAACTAAATAAAAACATAATGCTGTTTGTCCAATCATATGTTTTTTTTTTCTGTCAACTTAAAATAGCAGCCTACCTCAAATTGTTCCACGGAAAATATGCATTTAATCAACATAAACCCCGCTTTTTATTTGGTTAAAGAATGAAAAAAAAGACGCGACTGTTGTAACACACTTTTTCCGCTTAGAGTTGATTATTTTTAAACTACAAGCGCACAGCGCATAACAGCAAATACGGGACGCACGCATGGTGCCACAAAACACTTGTGGCCATTAGTAAACCATTCAAAAGATGCCCCTCTCAACGCAAACGTGTTGCCTGTGATCGGCCACTTATGCAGCCAACCTTTAAAAATACATAAAATAATATTTTATAATAATTTAACTGATACCATCATTCGGTTAAAAACGCACCCTTTTGGTTAACGGTTAATCGGTTAATATGAGCATCCCTAGTATATCCATATTTCCACAGTAAGTTTCTTTTGCTTGTATATTTATCGATTCGAAACACCTACCATATGTGAACTCAGGAGCAAACCCTGAAAACTAAAGAAAGAGATGTGAATAATATGTTTGTGAAATGTGTAGATGTACAACACTCTGTGTTCTCTGCTCACATTATCCAGCAGACAGCAGTGCTCAGTGAACTGGCATGTGTAATAGCAGGTGTTTTAGTTCAGGAGGGTTTCTCAGTGAAAGTGATGCTGTGGTTTGTGACAGATCTCTGACAGTGTGTTATTATCTGCTGTGTTGGCTAGCCTGAAGGGCTTAAAAAAAACCAGAGAGACCTTAAAGGCATAGTTTAGCTGAAAATAAAAATAAAGCATAATTTACTCAACATAATGCCATTTGGAACTGGCATTATTGTCTTGCTTTCATTTTTAATTAATGGAAAAGAGCAATTTAGCATGTTTGTTTAATAAGAGAATCAAATAATGCACAATTGAAGTATCATTCTGAAATTATTTTCTTATTTAAAAGATTATTATTGGGTTATTATAGAAAAAAAACTATTTCAAATAAACATTAAATAATTTTATTTACCTAAATTACTTAAACTAAAAAAGAAAATTAAAGTGTGTGTGTGTGTGTGTGTGTGTGTGTGTGTGTGTGTATGTGTATATGTATATGTATATATATATATGGTCATATATATATATGTATATATATATGGTCACACTTTACAATAAGGTTCATCAGGTAATGTTAATTAATGCATTTACTAACATGAACAAACAATGAACAATACATCTACTACTGTATTTGTTCATGTCTGTTAAACTTAGTTAATGAAAATAGAGTAGTTCATTGTTAGTTCATGTTAACTTATGGTGCATTAACTAATGTTAACAAGCATGGACTTGGATGTTAATAATTAGTTCATGTTAGTAAATGCATTAACTAATGAACCTTATTGTAAAGTGTTACCATATATATATATATATATATATGTTTGTCCTCATCCTATTATCGTAGTCCTGAATGCAGTGTTTCCTTTTTATGTGGCTTAATCTTTAATGAGGACTATATTTTTTTTATATAGGGAATTAAAAGTTTGCCCAGACCAGCACTCAAATTTTCTCTCTTACACACACGTACCTCTTCGAAAAAATGTCTTGCAAATATACAACATCCACACACTTGCTCAGACAGGCCGTAAGTCATTTTTGTCTCTCTGCGAGTGCTGTAAGTGTTTGTCTGTCTGGCTCAAGGTCAGGACTGAGTGTGCGTCCTGATTGAATTGGGGAGGTGTGGGCATCAAGCAGCACCACACGCAGGGCATCTGTTTCTCTCCCATTCGTCAGTCCTCCGAGGACAGATTCATCACCTTGGAAAGTGGCTTGTCTCAGAGGGCGATCAGTACACAAGGCTTCAAAAGTAGAAAATCTACATCTGGGCCTACTGAGACTCCACCTCACAAAATACACACAGTTCTCTGTCCTGAGGGAAATTACCATTGGCACAAACAGATTGACTGAAATGGAAGACAAGAACAAGATAGACTCTTAGATACATCCATCTTGTCTTAAAGGAATTTTCCACTTTTTTTTTTTTTTTAAATAGACTAAATTTACAACTCCCCTTGGGTTTTGCAGTTGAGTTTTATTATTTGAAGATATCAGAAGGAAAAACCTGTAAGTGCAATCTAAAATTTTCTTCTTAAATTACCATTTTTCTCAGCACCTATTGTTGCCATAAAGGAAAACGTTCTTGACCTACACACAGGTGGCTGAGAAAATGCTCATTTTAGAAGAAATTTCAGACAGCACTTTCAGATATTTGCATCTAAATTCTAAAAAAATAATTTCTTTTTAAATTCTTTCAGTCAATCTCCAAGTCTGGCTGTGTTACTTTTAGCTTAGCATAAATCTTTGAATTGGATTAGACCATTAACAAAATAGTGTTTTGATAAAGCTTGACTGTTGTTGCATCATTCTCACTCAAAAAAGTCAACAAGCCACTTGCTCGATTTGCAAAATACAAAAATGTCTTATGGAAAAGAAGTAAATGAGTTTAGTTCTGTTAAATGATTCATTATAGTTGTTTGAACCCAAATGAAGAAATAAAAAATGAATTAGATTATAACTTCAATGAGATTTAAGCTCTTCATATGACAACTCTCTGGTGAGTTACTGTGTGGCTCCATCACAGTAGGTGGTGGTATGCATTTATAAGCTGGTTTGCATACCCACCAATAAAACTGCATAAGAAGGAGTCACTGCACATGCTTAGCTTAACAAACTGAACTTTTGGAAATCTGCAGTTGGAGTGTTCCACATACAGTTGAAGTCAGAATTATTAGCCCCGTTTTATTTTTTTCCCCCCAATTTCTTTTTAACAAAGAGAAGATTTTTTTTCAATACATTTCTAAACATAACAGTTTTAATAACTCTTTTCTAATAACTGACTTCTTTTATCTTTGTCATGATGACAGTAAATAATATTTTACTATATTTTTTCAAGACACTTCTAAACGCACCTAAAGTGACATTTAAAGGCTGAACAGTTAATTAGGTTAACTAGGCAGGTTAGGGTAATTAAGCAAGTTATTGTAAAACGATGGTTTGTTCTGTAGACTATCAAAAAATATAGCTTAAAGGGGCTAATAATTTTGACCTTAAAATTGTTTTTAAAAAATTAACAACTGCTTTTATTCTAGCTGAAATGAAACAAATAAGACTTTCCCCAGAAGAAAAAAAATATTATCAGACATATTGTGAAAACTTTCCTGCTCTGTTAAGCATTATTTTGGAAATATTTAAAAATGTAAAAAGTAACTTGGAGACAAAAACAAAAATGCACTTGCAGTTCCTTTTGCAAGTTACTGATTAGTTTTAAATGAATGACAATTATTTAATAATTGAGATTAATTTTTGCACTGGTCCCTTCAAACAAGCTACTGGGTCATGATCATTGGTGCATGAGCTTAAACAAGACTGATGTACAGTAGTTATTGAATGAAGAAGCACATTTGTAGCTGGACAGAAGCTCTCCTAGCCAAAGGTTATGACACTTTTCCTTTAAACGGGGTGCTAGAACAAGTAAGCT